GCCCTCACGGCTGAAAGGGCGAGCATGTTTGGTGTAACGGGGATTCGAACCCGCGACCCTCAGATTGCGAGTCGAGCGCCGTAACCACTGGCCATGCCGGGCACATCGAAAGGAGAGAAAAGTTAATTTGGGGGATTATCAACGCTTTTTCTTACTGACTTCATTAATAAAGTTATGCATTTTTACAAAAGATAAATAATCTACATGCATATACAGTGTTCTAAAATAAGGTCACACCTAGTAACTTTTAATTTGGTTAACCCTGATATTTTTCTAAAAACAAAACATTACTTAGTACATTACTGATCCATAGCTCTAAACATTAAATCAGTAAATCTTCAGTAACACTAAAGCGTTTTAATTTAGTTTCCTTGCCAAAGAATATTGCTGCCTTCCTGTTCAACCATATTGAACTAACAATAAAACATGTTTAGGTAAACAGTTTGAATTAGAAGGTAGCCACGTGTAAGTGCAGAAGTCCTTAATATCTGACGTAATAAGAAGACCTGGTGATTAAAATATCAGTCTAGGTATTCGAAGGTCTCGGGTTCAAGACGCGGTGCCACCAAATATTATTCGCACTTTAGTTATAATTAAGATACTGTTAAGGATAGCTGCTTAGGCAATGGGTTCTGCTAACTGATTACCTCTTCTCTGGTGTGAACCATACGTAGCAGTGGGTTCTGCTAACTGATTGCCTCTTCTCTGGTCTGAACCATATGTAGCAGTGGGTGCGGCTAACTTATTGCCTCTTCTCTGGTCTGAACCATACGTAGCAGTGGGTGCTGCTAACTGATTGCCTCTTCTCTGGTCTGAACCATATGTAGCAGTGGGTGCGGCTAACTTATTGCCTCTTCTCTGGTCTGAACCATACGTAGCAGTGGGTGCTGCTAACTGATTGCCTCTTCTCTGGTCTGAACCATATGTAGCAGTGGGTGCGGCTAACTTATTGCCTCTTCTCTGGTCTGAACCATACGTAGCAGTGGGTGCTGCTAAACGATTGCCT